AGTCTCTGATCCGTATAGTAGCACTGACTGACTTCACATTGGAGTTGAAAATCCGGATCTTATTTTTGATGTTGAGTGTTGTTGACCTCCACACAGACTTGAGAGTAGTGAAAGCTTGTCTTGCTTTTCCGATTCTTGCTTTGATATCCTCGTCAGCTCCTTCCGCCTGTAGTTGAAACGATACTTCCAAGGTAGGTAAAGGAGGTTGTTTCTTTCAGGTTCCTCCCATTTATGCTGATTGTTGTCAGTTGTCGTTGCTGCTGTTGGTGGTGTTTCCCAGGAATCTTCATCACCTCTGTTTTCTCTATGTTCACCTGAAGTCCTATCCTCTCTGGATGCTTCTTCTGTCTACTTGTTGCTTTTCGCTTGCATATCTTCCAGTTTGTGGGAAATCAGACATATATCATCGGCGAAGTCCAGATCCTCCAAGTTTTTTGTGTGAGTCCATTTTATGCCTGTTTCCTCATTGCCCGCTGTTTGTCACATTATCCAATCTACTGCAATCGAGAAAACCATTGGCGATAGTAGGCAGCCTTGTCTTACTCCTGTCCTCACTTCGAAGGATTCCGTAAGTTTCCCGTTGTGGATTACTTGGCATGCAGCATTGTCGTACAGCTGTTGGATGAGATGTATAATTGTCTGTGGCACCCCGTAGTAGCGAAGTAGTTGCCAAAGCACCTCTCGATCGACGCTATCGAAGGCCTTTTCAAAGTCGATGAAGTTGAGATAGAGAGGTGACTGCCATTCCAGGCTTTGTTCAATGATGATCCGTAATGTGGCGATCTGATCAACGCATGACTTGTTTCTCCTGAATCCAGCCTGTTCCGGTAGAAGTTTTTCCTCCAGGGCTTGTTTGATTCTCTGCAGGGTGATACGGCTTAGTATTTTGCTTGGGATGGACAGGAGCATAATTCCGCCCCAGTTCTTGAATTGACTTAGGTCTCCTTTCTTTGGTAGTCTGAATAAGTAGCCTTTCTTCCAATCCTCGGGTACTTTGCCTTCTTTCCACACCTTCTCCAGTAGTGGCGTCATCAAGTCCGCTGTTGTCTCTGGGTCCGTTTTCAATGCTTCTGCTGGGATTCCATCTGGTCCTGCTGCTTTTATAGCTTTTAGCATCTTGATTGCCTTCAGGACTTCTGATTTCGTCGGGGGGTTGGTGTTCACTGGTAGCTCTGTCTCCGTCGTTGGTATTGTTGGGCGCGTTGTAGGTGGTGGTCGATTTAGAAGTCTTTTAAAGTGTTCAGCCCAGTGTTTCCTTTTCTCCACTTCTTTGGTGAGTGACTTTCCATTTTCATCCTTCACTGGCTTAATTTGTGTCAAACTTTGGCCCGATAGGTACCTAATTGTTTGGTAGAGTGTTGCGAGGTCTCCTTTGCCTGCAGCTTGTTCTGCCTCACTTGCCATGGTTTCATAGTACTTTCTTTTGTCTTCTCTGGCACTCTTCTTTACTCTTTTGTTCAGTGTCTTGTAGCCTGCATTCAAATCCTGTTTTTGTTGCTCATCGGTGCACTGGAGAATCTTTTGTTTCACCATCCCTCTCTCTTCTATTAGTTTCCAAGTGTCCGTAGTGAGCCACTGTTTGTCCTGTCTTTTCTTTCTGCCTAGAACCTCCATGCAGGTTTGACTCCACACTGTCTTCAAGTTGTTCCAGTGCTTTTCGACGCTGACCTCTTCGCCAGTGTTGATTTGTGTTTCGGCTTTGTCTTTTATACTTGCAGTGAAGATGTCCTTTGTGTCCTGGTGCCTCAGTTTTTGAGTGTTGAACTTGGCTTGTGGTCTATCTGCAGCTCCTGTTTCTCTGAAAGCTTTTAAATTGATTTGGATTGTCCCTTGTACGAGATAGTGGTCTGAGCCAACGTCTGCTCCTCTTCTTACTTTTGTGTCCAGTAGGCTGCGCCCCCACTTCCTTGAGATTGAGATGAAGTCAATTTGGTTTTTGGTTCTCTCATCTGGTGACACCCATGTAGCCTTGTGGATATCCTTGTGTTTGTATACGCTGCCACCAATCACTAGTTCATCGAAGGCGCAGAAGTCGGCGAAGAGTTCTCCGTTTTCATTCATTTCTCCGAGAGCTTCTCTACCCATGATGAGTTCCCTTCCTGTGTTGTTTGATCCCAGTTTGGCGTTAGGGAACGGCAATCCAACATGTCCGACCAACATGGACGAAAATGCCTCTCAGATGTCTAGCCCCTCTAATGACCTTGAGCGCGTGGGATAAGTTCAGTGGGTAAGTTATGTAAGAAAAATGAAAAGGAGAGAGAATAACACCCAGTGGAACACTGGCTTTAATAAGCAGGGCTGAAGAGGATTCACACTTATGTACAGTATACTGCATTCCATTTGAGAAATAAGAATGCAGCCAGCCAACGGTCCAGGACTCAGGCTGCGTAAGGGAAACCTTATTTAACAAAAGACATCTAAGTACTGAGTCAAAAGCAGATGTGTTCTCAAAGAAGTTACAACGTACACTTAGGGCCTCTTCGTCTAAGGAGGAGACAATGTTGTGATGCAGTACAGCGGCAGCGTCTAAAGTACTTCTACCCTGCTTATAAGCTAACTGTTTGAGATCATTTAAACTTTTTAAAGGGGGTACAAGGTTGAGTAACAGTAATTTCCCCAACAATTTCGAGAAAGGAGAGGTAATTGCAATAGGTCTAAATTTAACATTATTACCAGAAGCTGGGTACAGGGATGATTTTAATGTCTTTCCAAGCAGCAGGTATGACATTACTGGAAAGGGAAGTATTGAAAATGTTTGTAAGTGGGTAACATAAGATTTCAGCACATCTCTTGAGGACAACAGCAGGTAAAACAGTAGGACCTAGGCTCTGGGAAGTTTCTAGAGATTTCAAACATTTATTTTGGTCATAATTAGGAGTTTGCTTCCACATTGTGGACCAAAGGCAAAGCAAAAGACACGATTTGATCGTCCAGATTACGAGATATGATTCGGGACCAAATCCTAGAGCGAGATGAATGCTTAGCTGGCTAGTGATCGTACACGAACCTGACACGACGGAGTACCAAATGGCGTGGATGCTTGACCGGAGGCCTTGAGCTAAACAAGTCGACTTAAACAGTGAGGATCAGCACCCAATGTTCAGTGATGATTGCTGCGGTCAATAATTTTAAGGAATTATTCACCGCTACAATATCGTCACTCAAACTTTTGGCTAGAAATAACTCTACATCCCTGAAAAATCCACTGTCACCATATCAAGACGCTGCATTACATACCATACAAGAAGTATCCGTGGTCTAAAATGGTTTACAAATTGCTCCCTACATGTTAAACAACTTACTCGTACAGAACAACCATACAGCGACAAATGGTGGCTGACCCAGGCGCAGTAAGACAAATCTGCCCGACAGTGACCGATATTGGTCTGCACTGAGTGCAGTTCACTTCTGGTATTACTTACAGTGAAAATGCCGACAAATTATACAAATACATCACTTATTTTAAATTAATACCCGATTTGGATATAAATCAAGAATAAGATTCGCTACGATACACATCGAGGCTGTATGAAGGAATTGACTTCAAGCTTTATTCTTTTCCCAAGTATTTGCAATCCATCCCATACGAACTTGTGTTTTTTTGTTACTGCGAAGACAATATTTCTATATTTCTTGATGTGCTCCATTGAATTACTAATTAGCAGATTGTTCCCACAAACTAAACACAAAATACAGTAACAATGGATATGTAAATAATACTTATCCATGCCTGTACAGCTGCTGTGTCCTACATAGGTAGAAATAAGCATGCATTTTATTATATTATTAAATATGCTTCCTAGTCGCATATGTAAATTGTCATATTGAAGATGCCTGTAAATTGGTGTCCCTCATGTACAAAAAATGAGAAAACATTATCATTATTATTTATTACTTATGAGCCCTGAACTGCTTCGAAGAAATGCTAGCTACCTTACACTACCCACATAACCTTCAATACTTGTATGTGATTATATTACTACCAGACGACAATATTTTGATGCACTTTTCGTCACCACTTGGCAGGCAGAGCACAAGATGATGCGATACAATAACCACTTCCCCGCGAAATCAACTGTGTAAAAAGTTAAGAAAACATGTTATACCAGAGACAACAGTTTGTATTTAGAGTTAATGTTGATCTCTCACCATCCAACTAATGCACACTGGTGACAAATGTCATATATCCAGTCCATTGCCACCCGTAAATTATACTACCTATGGTTATATTTTGGCTGAATGTTGTTAATATTTACGCTCAAAACGAACTTCTTAGCATTCAGTCCGGAAACCATGTACTGCGTTTTGATGCTGGTAGGTAGTGAAAGTGAGGTTTACTAATCAATTTTGCCGACCCACACATATTTAAAGACGTTTTTCAGAGGATTTTCCAGTGATGCGAAAATAAGTAATTAAACTTTACCTTCTATCTGGGAAATTTCGCAAGTTCACTTCGTAATTAGATAATTTCGACTACCACTCCGGCTTTATTGTTAGGAGAAAATAATCTATAAAATATGCCGATAAAACAAGTATATTCAGATGGAAATAGTGAAACAGTGTTGCTGATTTGTCCCATGCATAATTAAAGGCAAAAGGGACGACGAAAAGGTCCCCATTAATGTGTTCACTGACGGTGTATGTGAAGTGGCCGTCTACATTCATAACAAACGAAAAGGCCAAGGGCAATCGGCAACGAAAAAATTGAAAGTTATGGACTGAGTAGTAGCTTCTGCTTGAGGATTAGGATTTACCATCTATTTCAAATTGCTTGACTGTTTATTGTCTCTCTTTACACAAAAACGCTTTACTTCATTTAAAAGAATTCTCCTTTTCTCCCATAGGTTTACCTATTTTCATCAATATTTTCATATTTTACTACTGTTTCCATATCAATTGATCCTCTCTTAATTCCTCTTGTCTTCACAGGTCCCAATGGAACAAAGTTTTCGTTAAAGTGCATCAGTAGCTATATTTTGCAGTCAGTGTGCTCCTTTCTAATTCGTTGTTGCGCGCGGTTTTAGATTTTGTAGTCCGTGTGCGCTGTGTTGCTTGCGCCGAAATCTTAGCGCACTCAGGTCTTCTAAGTCTGAGTTATCAAACACGTGATGGATAACAGTTTTCGGTCTTTGTACTTCAGTAGACAGTTGTCCTTAAAGGCATTCGACATGAAATAAAACTGGGTGCGATGTCACCCAGTTTCGAAACACCTAAACTACTTTAGCCTGTTTGAAATAGTGCTCGCCGGATATGGTTAAGTGCATAAAACAGTTAGAATTTTATTTATTTGCGCAGACCAGTTGCAATGTCATTTGTACTTATGTATAAGTACACAATATAATATCAACGGTAAAGCGACCATTGGTTAGCTTTACTGTCAACTTTCATCTAACGTGCCTTTTTAATTCGTGTTCTGTGCACATATAGATACATAGGTGAGAATGTCTGTATAAATTTTTGGCGAGTCTGTAACGTCTGTTGTTTAGGCGGCTGAATCTATTACTTCAGACTGCTCTAGATACGAATGTGGAGATGCATTATTTATCTAGCTTAGTAAGTAGCATTCTGTGCTTATGTTCGAATAAGGAGTCCAAATTCATAAGTCTAGGGTGGTAATATCTGGTGCTTCCGGTGTTAATTTGCTCATGCTTGGATCGCTTGTATGTAGGCGACTGTTGTTTTAATATAAAATATTTCTATAGTTGTCTCTATGCAGATGTTTTAGTCCTTTCCACCTCACCTGCATTATAACCCCCTTCTATTTCACTGAATCCATTTACATGGAGGCGTATCTTATCATTGAAATCTATTCCATGTTGGTCGTATTATAGAAAGTAAAAGAAAATATGCAAAAGCTACTCAATAAAACGAATCCTTATAAGTTAGTGAAATGTCTGCAAGTGTTAGAATTGTCTAGAGATATCAATCACTCTTTCACTGGTCTGAATATGTATGCGTCACCACTGAGTGCTACATCACTGTCTTCTGATTACACCTCATTTCGTCTATGAAATTTCTGGAATGGTTTCGCAGCGCTTAGTCGGCTTATTCAAGCTCCAAAATGTGAACTGGTTTTTCAACTATAATTACTTCACATTATATTATTTGTGACATTTCTTTAACCGTTCCTCGGTACATGTATTTGGTCATTCGTATTATGATATTTGGCCTTTGGATTTGATTTCCAGCCATTGTGAACAGTAGTACTTAGTGAACTAAGAACTTCTTTTTGTGACATTCTGTTTTGTTATTTGCAGCTTGTGATATTCTCACTTTTTGTGTATAAATGGAAAATCCTGGGCTAGCTACACCAGTAAAAATATCTCCATATGGTGATGAATTTGGAATAACTACTCCCTCAGGCGGTTTGATTTTCAATCCATTTCACAAGGAGTTTCTTAATCGTGTTGGACAAGTGAACTTTAGCCCTGGAATATTTGCCTATAATCCAAGTCCAATAGGTAAAAGTGGTTCAAGGAGGAATACTCCTAGTCGGAAAAATGCACATATCAATTTATCCCCCGACATCCAAGGAGATTTGTTTCCTGCAGATATAGATGAGAATCCAATTTTACAATTGAAACTTCAAGAGAAGCTTGATACACAAGTACGTTTGTCATATTCATCGCATTTGAGCATTCATACTAATTGGGATATTTTGTATACATTTTGAATTTTGTAGATGATGGGTTCGTACTGTGTAATATCATACTGGTTATGCTTGTGACTACCGAAATAAGCTGTCACACTTCTTGTCTAAACAGACCATCTCACGACTTGAAAGTCAAGTAAATTGAAGTAAATTTTAGAAAGTTTAGATGGGCGTAATGAGATTGAGTGAAGTTAGACACCACTGATATACCATTTAATGACTCACTTCACCATGTACTGTACTAGTTTTTCCGACTAGCCAAATTTCCGCTCGGCGAAGTTGTGGCAGTAATTGTATTACCTATACCGTTATTTTTTACACATTGAAGCAGGCGCTGAAGATATCTAGAAGAACAATGAGGGCTTCACTCAGTCCTGCTCCATTCCTGTGAGATCAGGCCTGTCCGAGCTGAGGACTCTTGATTATCACTTCCCGTGTATAATCGCTTGCATTCGTTGGGGTCATCATATAAGTGATTATGAGGTCCAACGGCGTCTGTTTGGAAATACTGGACATCGTCTTCCATTAAGTGTTCTGATCTTCAAACACCAGCTTCAGTGATCCGAACATGTACTACGGATTATTTCCTAACAGCCCAAATACCGTTCGCCAGCGCTGTGACTGTGTGCAAAAAATGGACGGGTGGTCAACCCATGATGTAGCTGTGTAAGATGATAATTGTGTCAGAGTAGCATCTGTCGGTGCATCGCGACTCCCTTGGTGGAATTCGAAAGATAATCCGGAATGGTAACTCGACACGTTATCTGATGTGGTCGAGAATCGTAATCAGTAGTGGACATGCAATCTCCTACTTTTGTCCATTTGTGAAAGTGATTAAAACCCTAAATGTTCTCGGTAAGCGTGCTTACCAGTTCTCATAGTCCTGTTCCTTAATTATTCTGCTTCTACCCCATATATTGTTTGATTGTTGTTTTCTTTCCGTTGTTCGACTCTCGGTGCCCATATTGTACCCACTTTACGTCTGAGTAAATAAATGTTGTGAATACGTTTTGGAAACTGGGTAACCTGTTACTCATGCTACCCTGTATCAAGTGACTATACATTAAGAAAAGTATTTAAAGATCTGTTTATGCTTAGTAATCACATTTTGCTTTACATATTAATTTTTATCCACATGTTATTATTGTCTTACTGTCATAGTAGCAGTTAACAAAGGTACTGTCAGGATGTTGGTTTTTAACTGTGTTACTGTAAGTTAAGTGCCTAGACAGTCTGAGCACTTGAAGATATTTTTCTTATACTTTTTACAATCAGATGAAAGTATAACTCCTTGTGAATTTTGCTTTCTAAAATTTTTAGTGTGACGATGAAATTCAAAATACAATCCACAGCTTTTTCAAGAATCACCTAATCGCACCTAGTCCTGATACTTTTGTTGACTCACCATCAAAATGTAGGTTTCATTTTACATACTTTGTGAAAATTTTAAATCATACTGACCATCTTTTTATCATCCGAACGTAACTTTAACTTGTGTACGTCAGTAAATTAAATCTGTACATTAGTCATTGTTTGCTTTCCCATTCAACCTTAAATACGTCATAATGAAGTATATTTTTTAGGACAAAGTATTTGAAACCGTGTGATTGCCAGTTTTGATTAGGCGATAGTTCCTCTTTTGCGATAGCTTCACCATCCTTCCACTCTCCCATGTGTATTGAAAGTGAGCTTTTTCATATCGCTGAAATTTCCCAAACTGACTGACAGACTGACTGGCTTCAACATAGTAATTTGCACACATGTGCAGCAGTTCGAATCGCCACATTCCATGTTGCACATAAAGCAAGAGAAGAGAGTAAAGAGATACTGAAAAGAGAGATAATAAACAGGAGTGTGAGACAAAAAGAATAGTAATATGGAAGAACAATAGAGTTTTATTGAATATGATAAATCACAAAGAGTGAATGCATCTGCGCCATTGAAAACAATTTCGACCCAGATCACCAATTGTCTCTAGCCATTGGTTTTACCATCACGATAACCCTAGCCAAGAAGTCTGCACTTTCCTACGCGCCTTAAACTAACTGATATGGATTTCATTAACTGATGAAGCCGTGTCTTGGTTTGACCACCACTAGCTAACTCTCTTTCAACATGTCAGCTAACATTACTCGTTGTCGAGGAAGGTGTTGGCTAGGTATGCCTAACACATTTCCTAACTAATTCAATTGATGTAATTTCACAACCTCGTCGATTGATGTCCCCTCCTTATCTAGCACTCGACGCCTAACCTCAATATTACTCACCCTATTATGCCACCTAAAACGAGAGATATAACGCAGATAAGTATGATAAAAGACAGCTAACCAGTTTTTCATGTCTTCCACTTTCAATGGCCATGTCTCACTCGCAGCCATAAAGGAGGACAGAGTAGACTGCTGAGCAGTACACATGTCCTTTGACCGACATCTGAATATCACATCTACACCAGAAATGGTGTAAGTTGACATATGCCAAATGAGCCTTCCGTATCCGTGCTGAGATTTCATCAGTGATCAACCCGCTTTCGTTGACTTATGCAACTCCTCAAATAAGTGAAGTGGTCAACATGCTCCACCACTTCACTCCTATCTATCTCTAAGCTAGGGGTCAATGTAGTCCAGTCCTGTAGGATCATCTTACATTTGACGGGGGCAAATCGCATGCAAAACACTCTAGGATTGCTGTTCAAGTTGTTCAGAGGACTCCGCATTTTGTCAGCGTCTTCACCTAGAAGGACTATATCATCTGCATATCCTAAGTCAACGAGATTATACCCTGGCAACAAGTCCATCCCTGAGTCGCTGAAGTCGGTTAGGGTTAAGTCCATTAGTACGTCTACGATGAAATTAAACAGAAATGGGGACAGTGGGCATTCCTGACAGACACCACTGGTTGTCACCACTTCAGGTGACAACTCTCGTAGGCTCTCACCTGGCTGCATGAGTACGAGTAGAGTGCCTTGATTATTGTGATGTATTTCCTCGGCATTCCCTTCACAGCTAAACACCGCCATAGTACCTCTCCGAGGACGGAATCGAACGCCGCTTCCAGGTCAAGAAATATGACGATTGTTGGACGCTGGTAAGTATGCCTATGTTCCAGAATCTGTTGAAGGGTGAAGAAATGATCAATACATCCTCTTCTTGGTCTAAAGCCTGTCTGTTTCTCCCGAGGACCACTTAGTCTACGCATGATTGTTGAGCCTAGAACTTGAGATATCATATTGGTCAAGCTAATCCCTCTGTGATTATCACAGGAAGACTTGTCTCCCTTCTTATATATCAGGATAATCAATGACTTACACCAGCCCGATGGGACTATCTCTGATTCCCAGACACTATCTAATACCTTAGTTAGCGCAGACAGTAAACTGTCTCCACCGTCTTTAAACACCTCTGAAGTTGTTCCATCAGGTCCCGCTGCTTTGTCTCGTTTCAGACTAGTGACAGGTTTAGTAACCTCAGTTAGGGACGGAGGACCTGTGTTTATATCCCATTCAGGTAGGTGTTGGATGCTGAGTGAATTGAGTGTGGCTGTTCGGATGAGGTAGTATAAATCCACTGGCTCTTACTAACTTTAAGTTTTAGGTTATTAACGACCTTTACAGCTGTGTCTATAGCTAACTGTATAATGTGCCAGGCTTCTTGGGTAGGAGTCGTGCTGCCGATCTCAAATGCGCGCTTAGCTACTTCTTCCTTGAATAGGAACTCACTGTCCTGACCAAGCTGGGGGCGTGACTGCTTCGCCGCCAACAGTTCTTCTAAAGGACCCGTTCAGATGAACTGCACACATACGACTATCTACTGGGATCCAGTCAAGAAGGGGTTTTCCTACCCTAACACTCAATGTTATCCTTAAACCTCTTAGTCCTCGCGAACTAGCTAACGAGTCTGCTGACACCCATAAGCTGGATTCTGCAAATTCACCTTCTTGGCCGGTTAGGTTAAGTGAATATCCACACTCGGGTCTTGTATGTTTGTCCCGAAATACAACGGCTCGATATGCCAGAGTTCTGTCTAGTGATGCCTGTTGTCCGATTTGGCAGAAGGTCCTCACGTTAAATGCTCCAATGTGAAGTTGGTGGCGTGGCTTTTAGGGGCTATCGGGGGTGTTTTCTGGCTCTCATTGCTATATGTGGTCACATAATGAAATAAAGATGACTGGTCAGCCTGCAGAATAGTATTGACAGTAGTAGGGAAGCAAGATGATGAGGGTGAAACTCCATTATGGATAAGATTTTATTTTGATAAATCACACAGTGTTATACAGTAATATTAACTGATGACGTTTCGAGCACAAACTATTGCTCATAATCATATCAAGTTACTCACACAACTTTTTTCCTTTATTTATATACATGTGTGGAATCGATTAGATATTGAAATAAAAATCAATATAGGATAATGTACATTTCCCATCTGATTGTAATTGATCAATAACAATCATATTATTAATTCTGAATGTACATTATCCTATATTGATTTTTATTCCAATATCTAATCGATTCCACACATGTATATAAAAAAGGAGAAAAGTTGTGTGAGTGACATGATATGATTATGAGCAATAATTTGTGCTCGAAACGTCATCAGTTAATATTACTGTATAACTGTATGATTTATCAAAATAAAACCTTATCCATAATGGAGTTATACTCTACCACAGTGCCCAAGTTTTATACTTATATCAATGACGAGGGTGACGTGGATAAAGGAGAATGACGATCAGGAGGGCTTCATGCGTTTTTGGAAGTGTGTGGGCGGCTGTTACCTCCTGTCTGTCCGCACCAAACACCCGAAAATTAAACATAGCAACATGAAATATTGTCTGAATTGTAACGTCCTCACTTCATATTCTAAATATTTTGGGTTCGATCGGAACTTATAGGCTGAAAGGCAAGTTCTTAAGCCTATGCTTTTAGTGATTCTGTAGCTGTGATAAAATCTATTGAGTAGTATGGAGGAAGTAAAGCACTTTAATACTTTCTGTGAACACTATGTAAGTCAACCATTTGGTTTTGTAGTTGGATTTTGACCAAAGGTTGAGATTTAATACAGTCACTTCTTCAAGTTTAGTGACTTCATAACTGTTATCGCTTTTAAGATTAACTCTTGTTCGATTTAAATAATCAGAAAGCGAATGAAAAAATGGAGATAACGTGTACCTTTTGTGGAATAATATTTTCCTTTTTTTCAGTAACTTCAGTCTGTTATGATCATCTCTGTTCTGTCAGAAACTTAATTTAACTGTATACACCAGATAATATCATATAATTTTCCTAAAATCATTTTTTCCCAAAATGTTTTCTAGCCCATACCATCCTCCTTCCACGGACTTCATCTCTTCTGCCAACAGGTAAATGATAGTAAAAAAATAATTTATTATTTTTATTGTTGACATTTGCTGTATTGTATGTAGTTTTACATGGGAATGTAGTTTGCTGCCGTAAGCACCTAAAATCCAGCCAGTGCGTCTAGGGTTCGTATCCTACTCGCCTTAATTCGGCTTAGGCGATTGGGTTGGATTATCAGTCCTCATCACATTATAAGTTTTGTGCATAGGCCGATACTGAGTAGCTGAGTTCTAAGCAAATAACTATGTAAGTTTATGCATATTTTTATCAGCAGTCAGGTATTGTGTAGGCTATTGCATACAGAAGTATAACTTTCAATAAAAATGACGCAATAACGTGTGTTTAACAATGTATCACTCCAATAACCCCGGTCGAAGACTGACTGAATTTTCAGTGTGGAACTGCGCATAGAACTGTAGCAGTTCAAGTTGTCACACTTCATGAGGCACAAGAAGACAGAGAATAAAAACAAACAGAAACCATGATGAATAAAAAGTCTGTGGGTTAAAGAATAACTCCTTGTATAACCAAAAGAATTTGATGCATCTCGAAAATTACAGGGTGAATAAACCTCCGCCATTGACAACAATTTCAAGACATGTCACCAGCGTTCTCCAGTTATTGGTTCCCGGCCTATTGAGGACTCCAACCAGGTAGTCTACACCCGGTCAATAGTAGAACCTTTTATGGGATATTGCTTATCTGTCTGTAAGGAAAGTGGTATAAAGGCAATTAAACTGTAGAAACTTAATAGATGTCCACTTTCGTGTTAGTTACATCTTAGTTTCCCGGGTGCCGGACTTCGAGCTATAATTGATGTGTGAGGGTTTTTGACACTTCATTTACCCAGGCTGAAGGTGGGAGGGGATTCGAACTCGGGACCAATCGGTTATGAATCTAGTGCTTAACCCAGTGAACCATGTTTCAACTTATTTTTCCCCGTGTGCATTGCATCGTCTTTCTGTTGCAAGTGTTAAGCTACTTACTTATCTGTAAATTGTGATCAATATATATCAACATAGACAGATTGCTTTGAAAATATTATTTTCCAATCTGTTAACATAATATATGTATCTTTTACGAAAGAAATATCGTCAACAATGAAGCTCCATGTAAGTTTTTTGAAACAACAGACTGAGCGAAAAAATATATTTCTTTCCAATTAGTTCCTCATCATCGGCTCTCTACATCGAAATTTTCTACATTTCAAGTGGTTATTTTAGTTAATCAGTTTTACGTATAGGGGGAGGGGTAAAATTAAGAGGTTAAAAGTCATCAAAACAATTGACAAATTGATGTTAGTAACAAGATATCTAAGTTTTAAAAGAGGGGTGAAAATTAATTACGGAATTCAAGATAAGTAGATTTTAGGCTTAGCACAAGTTATTACATAGTCAAGAAATTTGTAAAATAATGATGACTAAGGAGAATACGATGACTCAGAAGAATTACGTGAAATACAAACAAGTTAAAAGGATTAGCTAGAATTGTAAGATTTAACAAAATCAAAAGATAGTTAGAAGGGGAGGGAAAAAACTCGTTTAAAAAAAATCTAATAGATATTATGTAGTTAGCCATGGCAAAGAAAGGAGCTGTACACAGATTTGGCTTGTTCAGATGAATTCCGATTGCCTCTGCTGTATGTAAAAGTCGTACATGTAGACCATGCGAGAGGTTGGGTGACATACGATAAATAACTTTAAAAGCTTTGTTAGAGTCTACTTGGTATCCAGTATCAACGAGATGCGCTAGTATTGAGCTGCGTATAGCTTTATTCGAACCTTTGCCAAACCAAGATGGGAGGTGTTCAGAAATTCGAAGATGAACTTGCCCGATCGTACGCCCAATGTAACCAGCTCCACACGGGCAGTTAAATTGGTAAATACACATGGAAGAGGCGAAACAGGCCAGTCTGTCTTTATTTCTTGGACTAAGTATTGGTTGACTAGTGAATATACAGCATAGCTTAGCTGCGTTCAAAGTCCTTTTGAAGGCCCTTCTCAGACGTTGTGATAAGATCTCGCTATTGACATCACCTATGAGTTGTAATCTGAGGAAGACTGGTTTCTTGGAAACAGTCGGCACCTTTTACTCTCTGAGTGCATGTGTTTGTTCACGAATTTAGTCGTGAACCGTTTCCACTTGGTAGATCACGAATGTTACCGAGTTCTTCGTTCAGTGTCTCATATGAACAGATAACTCTAGCCCGGTTAACCAGACATCTAACCAGATTACGTTTGTATTGTAGAGGTAAGAAGCTCAGGAATTGAGTATATTGTCCAGTGGAAGTAGGTTTTCTATGCAAACGTCTACATATTGTTCCATCTGTTCATTTAGTCATTAGGACGTCCAAAAAGGAGATAGGTTCATTTTCTTCCTCTTTAGTGAAGCTTATGCCAGGATGTGCTTTATTGAATTTATCCAATATGTTCTTAGTCTCACTTTATTTCTTCACAACTATAAATGTATCATTAACATATCGGCAACAGAAAGCAAGATTACACGTTACATCTTTAGGAGGACCATTTTCTATTTTCGCCAAGAAAGAATCCGCTAGGACTGGGCCTAGTGGTGATCCCATGGCAACACCATCTGACTGTTTATACATTTCTTTATTGAACAGAAAGTTTACGTTCATTGTGTAACAGCAGAAGACAAGGACCAGGCAACAGATCGTTTATGAAGGAAATCAACACATATTTATAGATTTTCATGTACATTATGATAGATTATTGTTAGCAGAAAAACAGTCTTCTGATTGGTTGTTTCGCACTGAACGTTAATCGTTCATCTCTTTGTGGCCGTTTCTTGAAGTTCAGATTATCTATCTGCTAATTGTATCCACCTAAGCAAAGTCTGCTGTGATTGCTTGTTGAGTCAGTCTTTGTTCTTGTTTTCACATGACCAATATTTGGGACATAAAGACTGACGTAAATTAATGTCTACCCATTTGGCTAGCAGCCAGCTCTCACCACAATTGTACACCTTAGAAGAAGTTCCTTTAGGGAAGACACAGGAATTCCAATCTCTTTACCTTACTTTATCAATTCGTTACCTATGTAATCAATTGTTTCCATCAAAGGCACATTGGTGAATAAGGAAGATGCATCCAGTGATATCGTATATTTGTCATTCACATTTTATTCCTTCATCAAAGAATGTGTTACCTTTTAAAACTGCAGCTCTGCTCTCCTCCTGTGATAGCAGACACATTGTAGTAGTTGAGGTTTTTTGAAAGTTCATATTTTTTCGAATGCTACTCACCACTTATCTTCAGTTGATTAGTCCTGTAGGACATTTATCGAATGCATATTAAGCCTTAAAATCATCACAGAAGCTTTTACTAACGGTCCTTGAATTTGCTTTACATGCTTTGTGAAAAGGATTCATGAAAAATATTACTTTGAAGGTGACCATAATGTTTTTGGAAATAATTCGACGTCCTGACTATGTTTGAAGGCGTACTAATTTAGTATCTGCAATATTGCCAAATAAAAAAAGATGAAAGCATCTGAATAAGAGATTTTAAGCGTAGGTGTTTTTCAGCATGGTTGACTTAAGATCCAACTGGCAAACCATCACGTAATATTGAATGATGAAACTGTTGTCTGTCTGTTTTCGACGTAGAACTTTGCACTGATGTGCGGCAGTTCAAGTCGCCACACTCCATGTAGCACACAAAGCAAGAGAAGAAAGTAGAAGAAATGCATAATATAGACAGTAAACAGAGGTGTGAGACAAAGGAGTAGTAATAACGAAGAACGAACAGTTTCATCGGAAATCATAAGTCACAAGGAGTGGATGCATCTGCGCCATTGAGAACGATTTTGAGCCATGTCACCAATTGTTTCCAACCATTGGTTTTTACCGTCCCGAGGACCCCAACCAGGAAGTCTACATCTCCCTACGTGACTTAGACTAACTGTTGTGGATTTCATTGACTGGTGCCAAGTTTTCGTTTGACCGCCGCTAGCTCTTTTCCAGCCTGGCCCTATATCAGCTAACATTGCCCGTCGAGGAAGGCGATGACTAGGCATACGTAACACATGTCCCAACCATTTCAGTCGATGTAATTTCACAGTCTCATCGATTGATTTCCCCGCCTTACCTAGCACTCGACGCCTAACCTCAATATTGCTCACCTTATTATACCACCACGCGGGAGATAGAACGCAGACACCTATGATCGAAGACAGCTAATCTTTTCATGTCTTCTGCTCTCAATGGCCAGGTCTCACAGCCATAAAGGAGGACGGAGCGGACTGTTGAGCAGTACACACGCCCTTTGGTCGATAGTCGGATATCGCGTCTACGCCAGAGACGGCGAAAACTGGCGTATGCGAACCTAGCCCTCTGTATTCGTGCTGAGATTTCGTCGGCGATCAACCCGTTGGGGCTGATGGTACTTCCCAAGTAATTGAAGCGGTCAACGTGCTCTACCACTTCACTTCCTATTTCTAATCTAGGGGTCGGTGAAGTCCAATCCTGCAGCATCATCTTACATTTTGCAGGGGCGAATCGCATGCCAAACATTCTTAGATTGCCTCCAACCATCTAGTAATGATGAAACTGTTGAGTGTCGTTCTGACTTGTATTGAAGATAGATGTCACTTTATTAGAAAGTATCTTGAAATTATAGCTTAGAATCAATGCTACAGGCATGATTACACCCGACCCTTTGCTTGAGTCAAATTAAAAATATTTCATATTTTTCTGCAGATTGATTGAAGCAGTGGATTTTAAAGTAATAAGTCGCGGTTTCTAATCTTTTCTCAGCCCTAATAACTAAGTAGCATCATACATGTTCTCATATGTTAAATGTGGTTCATTGCCCGCAGAACATAGAACTGCTTAAGCCGGGTCTCATTATATGTGATGCTGCTTACAATAATCCTCATCATTTTATATTTCCTTTCAATTTGTATTCTGCTTTTGATCGTCGCTTTACTTCTGTTGTGTTGTATAAAATATTGCTAATGAAAACGTATGCACTGATGCCACATGTATATTTAGAACAACACATTTAAGCGAACAATATTGTTTTCAATTAGATCTCATCAGGCTTAACTCTAATATACATAACTTTACAAATGTCGATAGATGGAGTGGGGTTTGAACCGGTGGCTCAGAGGTACAAAGTCGAGAGTTCTAGACTAATGAGCTGAAGCTCTACTATCATTAGTATGGGAAAGCTTCTAGAGAAATATGAGTTTTCCTAGTCATGCATATCATTTATGGATTGTTTTCATTCTGAAGAGCATTCTGTGGCGTGTGCTACTGATAAGATTTATCAGTAGTATATAAAGGGACGTTCATCAGTATTAAAACATCAAATAACAGGAAGAGAGAGATTTGATGTCAGGGAAAGCAAATGATTCAGTGTTGCGGGGAGATATGATAGGAGCACAAAGAAACACAATATGTGAAGGCCAGAAGTAGCACAACACGGAAGATCTGTGCAAATGGTGATTCGAAGATAAAGTGTACATAATTTCGCTGTATAGAGATACCAAATTCCAAATAAACATTCCTTTGCCAAGTCTTTCGTCTTCTACCGTTACAATTCAGTAGAAGCCTATTAACGAAGCTCTTTTTTACTCTATACATTATCAATCATAATACTAAGTACAGTTTAGCATTCTATTGTTTTGCATTGTTCTGATGTGTTGTTGATTGGGTTGAAAAGTTTTAACGAGTATCCAGTATCTTCTTTTATGACATGACCTTTCATCCAATTTCAGATCATGTCATATTACTGTTGTCTAATTGCAGATGATATCGATATGTTTTATAGGGCTTTAATAATAACTGATGTTATGCTCGAATACCTTAGAGGCTTGACGAGTAAATGTTTAAACATGTCGGATAACGTTTTGTTTTACTACTTAGAATAGTTTACCTTTAGGATCCTGTTTTGTTTCTCTTGCATTTATTCTAGCAACTCCTTTAGGAAAAAAGAAAAAGAATTCATACATGCTAGAAAACAATTCGAATCCCATGTGTGAAGGTGAGTTTCTCCCTATAACAATAATAATTATTATTATGAGTAACTTATTCTATACTGTCACTATGTTTCTTGTTGTTAGTGAGTAAATACCAAATATCTAGAAAAATCCTCTATATCATCACTCTAATTGACAACTATTGTTTTACTGGACTTCGGATTTCTTTCGTCTTAGTACATATTTTCCCATATTCACTTTTGTTTCTTTTCGTATTGCTGGTCGCTTAGTGACCTGTTTATTCTGTTTCAGTGCTGCTTTTCACCTATCTAATTTATCAAAGATATTTTAAATATATTCGTTGTGGTCGGATAATAATAGGTTTAAGTTCGTTCTAACTGATACTTACATACACGACAAGATATGACTGACCATTCGAATTCTTATTCCTACACTGAGAAGACAAACACTTATCTTTTCTCAGGAAAAAGGTGAAATGACCAGAAAATACAGCTAATTGCAGCTGCTTCACATGACTGATGAATTATTATATTAATATTGCTTTGGGCCTCGAGTGGCCTCAACAGCACGTTTCCATTGCATTTCGTTCTCTGCGATCCTTTGTATCTGGCTCCATGACTGCCCATAGACTTTTACCTCCCCTCACACAATCTCAACCATATGCCCCCTCGGACGCCCAACTCGTTCCCGATTGAAGTTCCACTCAAGGACCGGACCTGCACATAATGTCACTCAACTGTCCTCAGTGTATATTCAGTCCATCCCCATTTCCTTCTGCATATTTATTGGGCAGTGGATTCTTGGTTGGTTCGTCGCCAGAGTTTCTTGTTGCTGACCCTTTCTAGCCGACCATCTGATATTCAGTATCGTGCCGGTGAAATGGCTATTTGTTGATGAAAGTCTTTAGTAGCCTGTTAAACATTCATTCGTTGGCGCACCAATTCTCTGATTTGGCATTAGTGTTGAAAATCTGAATCTCGTTTTTTATGGTGATTTCAGAAGATGACAACACTGATTCCAGATTAATGAAGGTTTGTCTTGCTTTTCCTGTCCTGCCTTTGACATCCTCATGCGTACTGAGTTTGAAATATGAAAGCAATGTTTTGTCTGATTGGCACGTACCAATAAAAGATCAATGTAATACAACCTCTGAACTACAATAAGGCTGAATGTTTGACCCTTATCTCACATGGAAAACACTGACTCATGATGTCTCGTACTGTCCTAACAACATTATATTTTGGTGATTTCGTATCCGTATGTTGGAGAACTAAACCTCATTGATTAAGGCTTCGACTTTTCTATAACCTACAGTTTTTGCCTGAGAATGAATAAGGCTGAAGTGAACATACATTCTTGCATTATATTGTTTATGCTCATAGGAGAGAAAACAGTTATACATATATACATCTACCGCATATTATGTCGGTTTCATCATTTTGACTATCACTGTTATTTCTTTTCAATTTCCTTTGCTATATTTTGTATACGACCTCTCTTTACCAGTCTTATTACTGGCCTAGCGAGGTAAAGGAGTGTGTCGGTCGGGGATCGAACTCCGGACTACATACGCGGTTGGTGAACATTCCTACCACAGTGCCACCAACGCACTGATGTATTTGCGTATTATACTCAGTCAATCCGTCAGTGTAACACCTTAGTTACTGTAAATACAATGGGGTTTATATGCCCATGGCACATTAATTTATGGTGGTTCGGCGTTGTTGCAAGTTGAAAAATGCAAAATATCATTGGATTTATATGATTGCCCCGTGTAACTTAACGGTCTTTGGGCTTGGTCACTCATGGAGGCATGTTGTTAGGAGGAAATATTGTTGTTTCAGTGGTTCTTGTAGTTTGTATTGATTTGTGATGAAGTCTATCTTAAAATTAATCAAATCCCTACTAACCTGGTAATCTAACCTATGCTAGTTCTCTGATGCTATTTTTCGATATTTCATAAGCATAACACTTTCATGAATAATCCTCTATCCATGTATTAATAAGGAAACAAAACAAGTAGTTCAGCGAAGAGGCTTTTTTCGACCAATTCGTTTCTTTTAGCCGTACATTCATATTCATTTGTGACTTCTTTCCCACAAAAGTATATGGTAGCAAAAGTGATGAGTTGTCACTGATCATAATTGCTAATATTAATCACTTCATAAGAAGAGATAAATAAGGGTTACTCAGTGAGATAAATAACTGAATGAATGATTTGTAATCATAATGACTATAGAAAAGAGACAAAATTTAATATGACGACGTAGTAGTTAGAAAAAGTTAAAAAGTGAAACCGATCAAGTTGGTGGAAAAAAACAACAGTATCGTTACCTTGATTGTAGAAGTAGTTGAATGATTCTCTTTTGTACTCAAAACTCCAGTTTCTTTGAATTCAAAAACTCCTATCTAAACACTTGGGAAAAAAGCAACTCATTTCTTTTCGTTTAAAGTTCTTCATCAACGACTCTGCACTATCCATATAACTTTTCAAAAAATAATGATCCATTGAAATTATACCAGTCAAATGGTGATGCGCTGGTCAATTTTAACGTATAAAAGAGGCAAAAATAATCAGGAAAAGCGAAACCAGTTTGTAATATAATGACAATTAAGAGGAATGGGTGGATGACCTTATATTCGTGATTACGTAAGGAAGTCAAGAGATAAAGACATTAACTGAGCTAAGATAGTAATAATAATAAAATAGCCATTATAATAACTCAATAGATGGTTGTAATAGTGGGTGATTACCTTTAAAACTACCATAGATTACCAGTTTAGAAACCAGAAGGGAATTTTCAGTGCATATTAGTAACAGAATAAAGAGATTAACCCTGTGATTTTCCTAAAATATTTTATAAATTTTAAGCAGTTCTTGTCTTATCACATTAGTTTCACTTTTGAAGAGTTGTTTTGGGTATAAACAGTCTCACCAGTCTGATTGTGTATAACCTGGTGTTTCACGTTTAATGATAACACAAAATAAAAATCGTTCATCTTCCTCTCCGTTCTATTAATAATAATAATCATGATAGCTTTATTCTAAGAAGTTCATTTTAAACATGATACAGAATGCATCAATTGAAGCAGTATTGTCCCATCCAAAGTATGCTGCATTATTCCGCTAAGTTTTCTTCCGTTTTCCTAAAAGAATCGTGGTAGTTGATTGAAATCTTTTAAAAAATATGCGTGATAATAGGCTGCGATTTATGAACGTAGTTGGGATGATTAAAACACTATGAAATACAGTAAATATGATACATTTTGGTAGCCTGATGATTTAAGCAGGCCGCCAGATATTCTTAAAAAATTCAATGGATACAACAAGTTTGTAAATTTGAATATTTCTTTTCTATTGAGTATTATTTGAAAGTCAATTCATATACGAAAAATAATCATTTTGATGACTGAATTATTCATTATTTCCGTCTAACTTGAGTAGACATTCCTCCAGACAGAGACGAAATAAAGGAAGCCGGAAAACAAGAAAACTTGTTGATAAAAAATGTGTTAAGATCTACAATGTTATGAAAAAAAACCTATGAAACAGTCTCCTCATCAATTTGTATCGTCTCGTGTACTCCAATTAGATAATATGTGCAACAGTTAGTGATTTTATGCTTCAATGTGCTGATGAGGTAATAGTGATAAGGCACATATTATAAAATCATCCAGCTCAAACCAAAAGCATAGCATCAATTCACAGTCTTCAACTAGTCATTTGAGCCATATAGGCATTTGTAGACTATCTAGCTGGAGTCCGCGAGTCGCTAAAAACCATTAGCAATAACTAGAGGCTGTTGATGACATGGCTCAAGATCGTTTTCAGTGGTACAGACGAACTCACTCTTTGAGATCTTCCAGGTCGATTAATCCTTCATTATTCTCCATGTAATTATTCTTTCTTTCATAGATATCCATTTATAGATTGACGATATTACTCAGGCTGAAGTAAATCGAGGGGAATTCCAAGCCGAGACCTGTTAGTTTATAGTCGAGTGGTTAAATCAATAAGCTTGTAGTCTACTACTGTTATTATTCTCATTGTTATCGTTGTTCGGTGAATGAATTCATGCTTAAGTTATCCATGTAATCCATTAATAATTCATATTACATATCAATTGCTTTTATATTCCTTCTTATATTTTTTCTAGTTGCTGTCCAGACAGCTATCTCTATGCCTCCATCATTCGATTTTGAATCAATTATGCGAAATGTACTTGAACAAAATCATTCAACAACAGATTCATCCAATCAGAAATCTATTATCAAGTTGAAAAGAACATCTACTGAATTAGACAGTCTAACTGATAATCAGTTACATTCAGATTTAAAATCTGCACCAATAATGAATAATATTTCCCTGTCAGCTTGTTCAGTACATCGTCCAGTCAATTCAAATTCAAATAATACTAATAACAATAATTCTGCATCAATACAGCGTAAAAATTCTCGTCATTGGCTTAGTCGACGTAGTCTCTTCTCTGATTCATCGGAAGTTAATGAAGAGCATGAGTAAGTATAGTTTGTTGTTATGTTTATATAACTCAGTTATCTAGAACAGATTTCTTCTGTACCAGGCCATGAGCTACACTTGATGTGTAAGAGATGATGATACTGTCCAGTTGTCCAGACTGAAGTAGGTGGAGCGGGATTCGAATATCAAGCACTTATGCCAGTTAGCCACATCTCCACTTTCGGAAACACTATACAGTGTTTATTTTCTGTCTGTCTGTCTGGATTCAACATAGAACTTGGCACCGAAGTGCAGCAGTTCGAGTTGCCACGTTCCAAATAGCACACAAAGGTAGACAAGAAAATGAGCGATGAAGAGAATCAATAGAGTTTTGACAAGTATAAGAGTGAAACAGAATGAGTAATGGTAGAAAGGAGGATGAAGGTTAAAGAGACTGAATACATCTGCGCCATTGACAACGATTTTGAGCCATGTCACCTCTTGTCTCCAGCCATTAATTCTTATTTTAGGCTTTGAATGACAGCATCATTCTTCAGGGATTTATTTCACCGTTTCACTTAACAAAGACTACTGCTTTTTTGACGAAATTTGGAGCATGACATTGGGAGGGCGGAATAATATTAATGTCAGGGAGCGCTATGAAAATGACAGGCGTTGTGTGGTCCTATTCTAGAAGGCGTATTACTATCAGGTGTTGCATGTCCAGTTTGAGATAGTGACCCACCAGCTAGACCCTAGAAACTGACTGTCGGGTGATGGAGCTCGGCTCTAAAATTTGCGTAAAACTCTCCTGCATAATTATTGTAAATTGCATTCTCAAAAAAGACGTGTCGATACTCCAAGACAGGTTAGTGATGGATACCGTAGATACAAAAACTTTATATTTCAGGTTAAGTTACAAAAGTGTAATTGCCGCTGATATTGTAAAATACCAACTGAACAGATCACTCGAGAGAATATTCCCTCAACTAAAGCATTACTCACACAGTGAGTCAATAATGGCAGCTATGAGTTCAACTGCTCCTGTGGAGCTAGTTACATAAGCCGTACTAGTTGGCTTCATCCATGCGCACACATGAAGATGTACCGGCATAGCTGGGTGAAGGCACGACTGAATGCATAAACAGCACAATATCTCACTCGGTGGCTAATAGACACCCGAATAAATCGAAGCAGGCGTTTTCAATAATCTACTGTGTTCCTAGGAATCTATCCAGTGGGGCTGGACTACGTTTCCTATCAGTAACCGAAGCGGTGGCAATCCATACCAGTAGACCTGGTCTCATTTTTCCCCTTATTTCAATGACACACTTTTACTTCAGACCTTTTTCGATTTCACAGACTTTCTTACTGAGTGTACTATCCTAAGTTTACGTTAAAATTTTCACATCTTTTATTGTCCACACAATTCTTTTCATTCCACCCTGAGTCATGAAGAAACTAAAAGGTAATTCAGCCAGAAAACTTCTTTGTTGACGAAATCATCTTCAAAGCATGTATAATCGTATTTATATTTACCAAAAATGTATAGTGGTCTACTATTGAGTAATAGGGGGTGACATAATCAATATAATTACTCGGAAGTGGCTTTAGAAGTAAAAATTAAAAGTTGTAAATTACGTGGTACTTAACGGCACAAAGATAGAAATTTGATAAGGTTAAAACTGCTATTGAGTGAGTTGAGTGTCAATTTAACAAGCGTGAAGGTGTGAATATGTACAAAAGGAATATATAAGTGTGATAACAGTGAATTAATTATTAAAGCAAAAGCAGACTAAAAGTAAAATTAAAAAAGAAAAGAAAAAGCCGAAAATTCTTTTTACAGGGAACGACTAGTGAAGAGGTTAAGACCAAGGTAGAATAAGAGACTGGACAAACTTTTTCTGTCTACAGAGTTCGGGGTTGTATTGACGAATTGCCAGCGCCTCCGTCATACACAAAAGCCGAAACCTGACGCCCTTTGTACCATTTAGCCTCACTTTGTAGATGATCTTGAAAGACGACTCTGGTGGAGCTGCGTGGCCTGAGTTCACCAAGTGCTCGAGAATTGAGCTAGCAATTGTCTTACATTGTCCTTTTGCTAACCATGCGGGATAATGTTCAGAGATGTGATTGGAAAGTGTGCGCTTTGTGCGGCCAACATAGCAGGTGAATTTATAAACACACTGAGGTGGCCCAAAGCGGCAGTTTATCCTTCACACATCCATTGATCATTTGTCGGCTGTAGAAATTGATACGTAGCTCAGCCATATAGAAGGTTTTCCTCAATGTGTGTTTATAAATTCACCTGCTCGTGTGGAGCTAGTTATATCGGCTGCAAGTGGAATTTATGAAAAAGCTAACTGTCTTTGATCACAGACGTTTGCTTTCTATCTGGTATAATATAGTGAAGAATATTGTGGTTAGGCATAGAGTGCTGGGTGAAGAAGGGAATTTAATCGGTAAGTTGTAAAGCTACATCTATTGGGATATCTAGGACACGTGTCGCCTTCCTCGATGAGCAATGTCAGCTGACAGGAAGAGAGTTAGCGGTGGTCATCGCCGAACGTGGCATCAATTCATGAAGTCTCTGACATTTGGTTTGAGTCAACCTCGTAGGGAGGTGTTGACTTCATGATTGAGGACCTCATTATGCTAGGAACATATGGCTGGAGACTGTTGGTGGTATGACTCAAAGTTGTTCTCATTATCGCAGACCGATATATCTATATCCATTAAACCCTCATGTTTTCCCATGTTACTATTCTTTCTCCCGTACATTTCTGCACATTACGATTCTTTTGAATTTGTTTTTTCTCTCCTTTATCTACGTTTGTGTGCTACATGGAGTGTGGTAACTTGAACTGATGCACTTCTGTGAAAAGTTCTATGCTGAGAGTGAGTCAGTTATCTGTAGGAATTACATAACTAGTATGTTCATGTAACGACAGGGCCAGGCAACAGATCGTTTATTGAGGAAATCAAGTGATATTTATATATTTTTATGTACATTATTATTCGTTATTATTAGCAGAGAAACAGCGTCTTCTGATTGGTTGTTTTCTCGCTGAAAGCTAATCTGTCATCTATTTGCGGCCAGTTCTTTGAAGGTCAGACCATATATCTGCGAATCGTATCCGCCCACGCTAAGTCTGCTGTTATTGGTTGTTGAGTTAGTCTTTGTTCTTATTTTTTTTCTCATGACCAAGATTTGGGACGTAAACATTGACGTAAATTTCTGTCTTCCAGTTTTGGCTAGTAGACAGCTCTCACCGCATATAGACTAAATATTAGGAGAGTAAATTTTCTTACGTACGAATAGAAGAATACTGTGCGACGTGTTGTCTTGTTGGCATATATAATTTATCAATTTTAAAAATTATGTATGTGAGTTCAATAGCTATTTTTGATCTACCTGTGTGGTGAGAGCTGGCTGCTAGCCAAAGTTGGTAGACAGTAATTGAGGTCAAAGGTTAAGATGGACAGGCGGATACAGTTAGCATATGGATGATCTGACACAGCCACAAAGAGATGCAAGGTTAACTTTCTGTGAGAAACAACCAATCAAAAGACTGTATTTTCTACTAACAATAATCTACAATAATGTACATTAAAATCTATAAATATGTGTTGATTTTCCTTAATAAACGATCTGTTGCCTGGCCCTTGTCTTCTGTTGTTACAGTATCACCAATCATTACAGGATATTTATATATCATAGCCTGGTATGTAAAAAAATTTCTTTCAGATAAATAGGTTTTAACAAATTTCAAATTTATATTTTGTTATATTTTAGTTATGCAGTTGTGGATGGTGATGAATTAAATGAACAGCGTACAATTACATCATCCGACGATTTAAGTAATCGTTGCCATCGAACAGACTCTTCATCTATTCAACCAACATGTTCCACATATTTGTCTTCTACGCAAATGGAGAATCCTTGTACAAAATTCAGTGTTGAAAAATTCTGTCCAAATGAAACCAATTGTTCATTGATTAAGGAAACAGCTGCATTACAAATGTGTTTGCCTGCTAGCTGGGCTGATACTGGGATTAGTGATGATGATGATGATGACGATGATAATGATAGCTATGATGGGACTACACACAATGAAGACGGTATGTCAAATGCAACGGATCTAGGTATGTTAAGAAGAGTTTTTTGAAAAACCTACTGTTGGAATGTTTTCCTCTTTTTTAACAGGTCCTCATTTAATCTCCATTAATATTTCGTCAGGTTGGATTGACAAAAAACCTAGCAGATTTGGATTTTGCAGGTGATTTGTGCGTCGTGTTGCTGAAACTCAAAGATATGAAATCGACGAAACCTAACAGATCCGCAGAAGAGGCAATGCATACAGGATTTCTGGTGAGCATAAAGAACACTAGTACCAACCACCATCAATGGGAGAAGTTCGAAAGAGGTCGCGTATTTCACTTACATCACATTGAACAGCATCGTTTCAACTGTAGAGGGCAGCAAGGTCGGGGACGTCAAAGCCAACTAGGATCGGGAAAGTTAGACGGGTGTTTATTACTGTTAAATCACTGCGGCGGGAATCTTCCACACTTAGTGCAGAGAACAAGATTCGAATTTTAAACAATAATGTCAAATCAATGTCTCTTTATGGTTAAGTGTCTTGGCGCACGTGTCACTTAAAGCATTTACAACGGGTTAGTGCAGACTCCCACTAATAGCCTTTCTGTCGTTACTGAAGATCGAATTGTGAGAAAGGATAAGCAAGTGACATGCGACCCTGTCGGCAAATTAACCAACAAATTTTCAGAAGGAAATGGAGATGGATTTGATCCTACTGTGAAGTGAATTCATACACAAGGCCCCCGAGTGAAATCCGAAAAGAAAGCGAGCAACGTAGTTATGCATCTGAGGACGTAAAGATGAAATGAAAGCTTGTGGACAGTCGTGGAACCAGCTGGAAGTGATTGCAGAGAACTGATTGGAATGCTGAAACCATATATTTCACTCGAAACTCAAGGAATGAATAATAATGAGAAGATCACGCCACAAACCGACATTAGTTAAAGGAGTCACTGAAAACCATGTACCATAATCTTTGTTGTTATCCGAGACTCTCTAGCTGTGTTCACCCACGACTCACGAATATCCTAACCTTCATATTACGAATTGAATCCATTTAACCAGTAGGATGAGATCCATTGACACTTGAACGCTTACTTATATCAATTCTCGATACAGTTCCATCCTTGGTGGGGTCATGGTTGCGCACTGCTTAAGAGTCCTATCTAGCAGAAACAGTAGTCTCATGCCTTTGATTTTCATGATTCTCTAACTATGTCGGTTCGCATTGAAATCCCCATTCAAATTAATCAAAATCCTTACAAATCTAAATCTTAAACATTCCTTAGTCTTAGTTATAATACTCACATTGCAAAATACACATATGCATTTATGCATTGTTAATTAAGGGGGAATTTGGATTAATCATGTATGCAAAGGAAAAGTTGAATCTCATTTACCATTCATTAATGTCCTCTAAAGCTATTCAACATAATAAGTGGTTTGATATTCCTCAATTTTTGCCACAGCATATTATTTATATGTTAGATGAATACTAACCCAAAGTGATGTCATGCAACTTGGTCCCTTGATTATCCTTGTCAAAATAAGAAGCAGTACTAAATGTGCACATTTTATTTCTAGGCTTATGAATAACACTGCGTTTTCATACAGATTTTATGTAAAAACACTTTATCGTCTTTCCACTAGTTCCTGTCCATTCTACACAATCTTATTGATTAGTCATTATCTCGCGCTTATTACGTCATGCCAACTTCTGTCTCTTTTCAACTTCCAGTTAGTCACCCCTTCTAGGTTACACCTTACGTTACGTAATACATTTCTCAAGGACAAATTTTACCAGTATCTGATTGGTATTATGATTTCTGTGTTAAATATAATTACGATTGTTTTTGATGTAATTGTGTTTTCTGAGCTGGATAGTTTATTTGCGAAGCTTCCATTGCTGTACTAGGCAACATCTTCAGCGCATACTTCAATTTGAAGTGAGCTTTTTAGATTTCTCCACGAGTTTATTAGTCATCTCTCCTGGTGGGTGACCTTGAACGTGATTGGTTGCTTTTGTGTGTTTTCACATCTAAGCTATTTGTATTGGAACTGATTGTTTCCCTGACTTGAACTTTAACCCTTTGTGTGTGAGATTTCCTTCTTATCGACTGGTAAATTTTGCTTATGTCAATGTGTCTATTAAATGACAATTCACTGGAATACCAGGCTTCTAAAAATTCTCTAGCATTCTTGGTGTTTCCTCTGTCTAATATTTGAACGTTGTCCCAGTCGAATTGATGTCCGTGGTTGTCTGTATGTAATGATATGAGGGAGTGGGCTAGTTTATGATCATAAATACGAAGACAAAGGGGACATCCACTTTGGCCAATGTAGTGTTTCTCGCAGTCGTCGCAAATTATTTTGTAGATGATGTTGGTTTTATCTTCTTTGTTTTTGAGTCTTTTGGTTGACATAGAGCTGAGTGAAGTGATTTTGTTGGCTTATGTGCGACGTCAATTCCTAAATGTTTGAAGAGTCTTGCAGTGATTTCTGAGATGTCCTTTATATATGGTAGGGCGATTTTCTTTGTGCTTTCCTTGGGGGCCTTTGATTCGGTAGGTTGGGTTGGAGGTATATGTCTTTTGATGAAATTCCATGGATATCCATTCTTTTGGAAGACATCCATGAGAAATCTTTCTTCAATTTTCCTTAAGGAGGGAGTGTTGCAATGAGTCTTGGCCCTCTTGAATAGTGTTTGTATACAATTCCTTTTGTGTGTTATTGGATTGTTGCTGTTGTAATTGAGTTTTTAGTCCGTATGAGTTGATTTTCTATAAACTTGAGTTCCAAATTCCCCTGTGGTTGTTCGCTTGACTCGGACGTCCAAAAAATGGGATTTTGTTCTCGGATTCCTCTTCTCTTGTGAATTTAATGTCGTTGAAGGCGTTGTTTATTAAGTTGTGAGTTTTATCCAACTCGTTTCTTTTGATTTTTACAAATGTGTCATCTACGTAATGGATCCAAATTTTGGATTTGATCTTTGGTAGCATTATGTTTTCGAGCCTTTGCATCACTGCTTCTGCAATCAAACCTGATATTGGCGATCCCATGAGTGTTCCTTTAACTTGTTCATATATTTGGTCGTTGAATTGGAAGTACGTTGTTAGCGTGGGTTTATGTATTCCATCCAACTTGTGTGTTGCATTTTTGATTGTTGTTCGTCGTTGCCGAGTAATTGCCCCATGGGTCTCTTTTACTAGTTTCTGTCCAGTTGAGGTATATAATGCTGTAACTTCGAAGGATACCATTATTTCTTGGTCATTACGATTGTACAGCTTATGAAAACGAATCGTCGAAAAGAAAATTTTCTTCACTGTTTGCTTCTTTTTCCTATGACTCAATATGGGAATATATCGTTCTATTCAATTCAATGAATTAAGCTCACTAAATCGACCTATTATTAGTATTACTCATGAAGAAAACGGAATAGCTGATTATGTAATAGATGGAATGACTGACTGGTACACATGTGCAGCATTTCGAGTTGCCACACTTCATGTAGCGCACACAAAGCAAGAGAAGAGCGTTAAGGGAAGTTCAAAATAGAGATAATAAACAGAAATGTGAGGTAAAAAGAATAGTAATGTGAAAAAACAATGGAATTTCATTGGATGTGATAAATCAACAAAGAGTGAATGCATCGCATCTACCCCAGCCATTGAGAACAATTTTGAGCCATATCTCCAATTGTCTTCAGCCATTGGTTCTGACCATCCCGATGGAATAATTATCTCTAGGCTATACTGAGATTAGATCGCTTAATAGAAAACGATCCAACAAACACATCCATTCAGTCCTCTATAGTAATAATAATTATAATCATAGTAATTTTTATCATTATTATTATTTGACTCACTGATCTGAACTCAGGCAGTGAAACCAGGTAAGTAACACCATATTCATGAAAATGAAGTGTAATGATATCAAACAAGATATGTGGTTAGTTTTTAGGCTAGGAACAAGTCAGGTTTGAGTTAACCTTATTTAGGAAATATTAGGATTGATTAAAGGTAGATTAGGGTTATGTTAAGGAAATATTAGGGGACTAAATTTGCTCTTTCCAAAGTGATTGGTGAGTCCGCACCTCTTGGGTGTCTAAAGTTGAACTTTGCCAACCTCTTGTGTCGTCTACTATTCATCTTTCTTTGTTTCTTTTCTTTTAGATAATTCAGTCAATATGCGTACCCTGAATGGAACAACAATTGAGCATACCAATAATAATAACTCATTAGATGATGTTGTCAGCTGTGGGGGTTGTTATTCTAGACCAATGCATTTATCTATTGACTATTGTTCATCTCAAATGAATTCCCCAAAACATCTTGATCAACATTTTCGTTGTGGCAGTACCAGTCCAGGTGTTTGTTACACTGATATCTCATTTCATAGTCCTGATTTATCGCCAATCTTACCTGCTGCTCGACAAGTTAATAATAATTCTGTTGTTTTTCATTTGAATTCTGCTGAAGGCAAAAATACTTCAGATATCAAATCGAATGATAGTGATAGTAGTCATGAGGTGCCTATGCCTGCTAAATGCTTATTTCCAACAAATTTGAATAAATCTAACTAATGATTTATTACTATTATCTATCAGTAATAGTTTTAATATTAATATTATTTGTCTCCTAGTATATTTTATAATACGAGTATTTGATTGTCATTGGTTATGTGTTTTTAGAATTCTTCTCTTTTTTTAATTCCCTGAAGTCGAAATTGTAGACGATAGTTTTTCTAACAAAATGCCGAATGTATTTATTTGCCAAATGTGTATCTTCTAATAATAAGGCAGAATGGGAAATAGAGAGAGGCGAGGAGACTTTTACATTGTCTACATCCGCATAACAAAGAAATTTTAAACTCATTGCTGATTGATTTGGAAAGTTTGTGTAGATTTAAAATTGTATACAACTTCTAATTCTACACTTTGTATGTCTTTAGTTGTATTGTATACATCTTGAAAATTCTCTCCAATGTTTACTAATTACTTATAGTCTACTTGTATATTTTGCCACCTTATTTTGTAAACAGACAAGAAGATTAATGCTTGTTTGTATGTGTGTGTGTGTATGAACACATATGAATTGATTGTATCCAAATAACTAACCGAATATGTTGTCTTTCTTCTTTCAATGTCTCCATTCTAAGTGCTGATTATTACTATGTACAATTTAATTATATTATGTTTCTTATACAACAACGGTTTCTTTCTCCCTCTGGATTTGATTTGGTACCTTTCATTTAAGTGATAAATTGTCCTCATTTCAGTTTTCGGTGTCATCTAAATCAGTTGCAAATTGAATCTGACCTCCTGAACTTCCTGTTGTGGGTAGTCTACACCAACATACATGCTATTACTAGTAAAATCATTTCGTTTTATTGCATAAATCCATAGTGATTGGTGATAACGTGTAGACAGACGTTTCTGGGTGTTTGAACTGAGTACACAGTTGATGAGCTCGTCGCCGAACGAGTGAAACGGTTGTCCAATGTTCATTCCATAGTAATTTGTTTATTGGATGTATCACATAGTGAAACAGTATTATTATTTACTGGATGACGTTTCGAACACTATTTATTGTTAATAATCATATCAATTATAACCACACAACTTCGAAAATTTCGTTTTATAGTTCCCTTTATTCTTTCCTATTTGTCATAGGGGTAGTAGAATTTTCCAGATGCCTGGGACAGATGTTGAATCATTCCTATTACGCGTATTTGCAGTTGATTCAATGAGTAAAGCTCCCGATATCAATCTCTCCTTCCACCCTGCTATATTAGATTTTAAAACTGTCATCTTATTCCATCATATTGCATGGTTGTGTGTAGTTGCATGTAGCGCTTATCTTATTGGAGTCAGCTAATCTAGATTTTGCTGGGTTTTTATGCTTGGCTAGTCTGACTGTCCCTGTTCTACTACTTTGACTTGACAATCAGCAGGGTATTGATAAACTAACTAACTAAACACAAACTCAAATGTATGGTCAATGACAAAGATTATGTAATTGTTGTTGAAACATCCGAAAAAGCTAGAGAATCAGCATTAAGAAAATCAAAAACCACACAAATCAAAAAATTCAACAAACTAATTGAAGAAAAGAACACAGCAAATAAAATTGATGTCAACGCTTCATCCTCTATCGACAGAACAAAGTGGGTGATCAACCTCTCATCAAGGGAACTAAGCTCTAGTGAGATAAAAGTACTTGAGAAAGGACTAAATTTCAACGTGACAGTTAATAAATCTAAACCAGAGGATGTCATTCCTAACATAGAAGTAGCACTAGGTTCAATAGATAAGACAACAGCAGAAGAGGTTCGAGCACAATGTGCATTAACCCTGAAAAATCAAAAGAAGGCAAAATCAAACTTAACAAAATCGGAAAGAGAAGCTTTAATTAGTCTAAAACAGGATAAAAATATTGTCATCGCAAAAGCTGACAAAGGAAACGCCACCGTAGTTTTGAATAAATCTGACTATATCAAAAAAGTAACTGAACATATTCAAACGGGTCCATATGAAGAAATTAAGAGGCCTGTAGATACAATAATGAATAAGGTTAAGAAATCTACACCAGAACTAATACGCAGAATGAAGCCGTCACTGGGTGAGTCAAAATGGTTTAATTTAATGCCTAAAACTAATAATGCTAGTAGAATGTATGGTACTATTAAAATACATAAGCCAGGTTATCCAATACGACCAATAGTAGATTTTAGAAATACCCCTACTTATGAATTATCAAAACACTTAGCTCTAATATTATGCCCCATTAGAAATCGTTCAAACTCTAGACTAACTAATTCATATGAGATGAAAAATAAACTAAATGACATTCAACTAGAGAATGATGAAACAATGGTTAGTTTTGATATAACTAGTCTTTATACTAATATACCAGTCAATATGGCCTTAGAAGCAGTTAAAAAAGAACTAACTGCGGATCCTGAACTCAATCATAGGACAAAGCTGTCCATTGAAGAAATTATTTTAGGGATTCAGTTATGCATCACATCTACTATCTTTAAATTCCAAGGGAAATATATAGACAAACAGAAGGCGTAGCAATGGGATCACCAATATCCCCTATCGTAGCAGACATATTTATGGACAGTTGGGAAAATATTGCTCTAAATACATTTAGTCCTACTCCAAAAATATGGTGGAGATATGTGGATGACACTTTCACAATGTTAAAAACAGAACATATCTCTAGCTTCTTGACACATATAAACTCACTAGTAGAGGAAATAAAATTCACATTTGAATCGGAAGATGAACAAGGAGAATTAGCTATGTTAGATTGTAAAATAAAACGAATAGAAGAAGGTAAACTCCACACTAGTGTTTATAGAAAACCAACGCATTCTAATAGATATTTAGATTTTAATTCGTCTCATCCGTTAACTGTTAAGGCAGGCTTAGTTAAGTGTCTAAGAAACCGAGCCATAGCACTAAGTAGCACAAAAAAGACCTAAATGATGAAATAAAACAGATAGAAGAAGCGTTGGTGTTAAATAACTATCCTATAAAATTCATAAGAAGATCACTAAAGGCCAAAAACATAATTGTGGAACTAGTAATGATAACATAAATAAGAGAGAATATAAGTCATCCACTGTAATACCATATAAGGAGGGGACATCTGAGACCCTACATAGGATTCTTAATAAAGCAGGAATTAGGGTGGCATTCAAACTCACTCAGGGACAAGCTTTGTAGGTTAAAGGACCCTGCTGACCCAATTAAACGAAATAATATAATTTACAAAATACCCTGCAATGACTGTGAAGTCAATTACATAGGTCAAACTAGTAGGTCCGGGGTAGTCAGATTATCAGAACAAAAGAATTTAGCTAAGGGAAGAATGGTTGACCCTGAAAAGATAAGTAATTTAGAAAAAAGCTCAGCAATTGCACTTCACGCATTAACAAACAACCACACAATGGGGTGAGATAGGGTTGAAATTCTAAAGAGTAACATAGGTAGGTGGAGAGGGAGGTTGATTACAGAATCCTTGTTCATTGAGTCTGCACCCAACACATGCAACAGAAATGACTCAATGCAAATACCAGAAATATGGAAGATATCATTACCGCCGGTCAAATCAGAAGAGAATAATAAATAATCTTAAAATTCTATTTCAATTCAAACACATCACAACATTCTAACAAGTAACTTATTATGACTATAAAAACACTCGTTTTATTTCCCATCTAATTGTAATTGATCAATAACAGTCGTATTATTATTTCTGAATGTACATTATCTCATATTGAATTTTATTCCAATATCTAATTGATTCTATACATGTATATAAATGAAGGAAAAAAGTTGTGTGAGTGACTTGATATGATTATGAGCAATAATTTGTGCTCGAAACGTCATCAGTTAATATTGCTGTATAACACTGTGTGATTTATCAAAATAAAATCTTATCCATAATGGAGTTATGCTCTACCACAGTGCCCAAGTTGTATACTTAGATCTAAATTGTTTAATTGGCTCCACAGATTCCTTTAACCGACAAAGCGGTTAGGACTCTCGCCTACCATGCACATGTTCCAGGGTTCGATCCCCTGCCGACGCACACCTGATATCAATGATCGGCCTGCAAAATTTGGGCTACCGATATCACATGCTGAAAATTCCATATTTGTACCAAAAATACGGTGTGGAATCAAGCTATAATCAAAACTAATTGAGTTTGTGGGTTTGAATGTCACTTTTATTCCTGCATTGTTAAGAATTCTCTGAAGGTTTCCGAGGTTCCTTCGTTGTATGGAAGTAGCACTGATGATTTGAATTCCCTATTGTTGGTGTTGTCATTATCCTGTGCATGTTTGACATGCATGTCGTCATTAGTATTACTACCGCTACTATTATTATTATTTATTTTATTTTTACATTTTCCTACATACTTTTTGATTAATTTACCAGGGTAATTATCAAGTTTCAAAGCCTTTCTTATGTGCCTCACTTCCTGTCTTAGATTTTCCTTGGTACTACTTGGTTTTTGTGCCCTACTACTTAAACATTTCACCAATCCTATTTTTACTGGCATAAGATGGGATGATCGGAAATCCAAATATTGGTTTGAGCTTGAGGGTTTCCTGTAAACACTAATGTCTAGTTTCCCATCTTCTTTTCTTTTTGTGCTACTATCTAAGATTGGAAGCTCCCCTTCCTGACTTTCCAATTCATAAGTGAATTGAATTGCCTCCACCTTTGAGTTGATGTGTTCAAAAAATCGATTTATGTCCTGTGTTCTAAGTACGGTGAATATGTCATCTACATACCTCCACCATACTTTTCGGGTGGAGCTGAAGGTTTCAATCGCTAAGTTTTCCCGCCTATTCATGAATATATCTATCACAATCGAGGATATTAGTGACCCTATGGCAATTCCCTCAGTTTGTTTGTATATTTTTCCTTGGAATTTAAATACTGTAGAAGTCAGGTGTAAATTATGTAATACTCAACGGCACAAAGGAAGAAAAGGTTAGAAATTTGATAAGGTTTAAACTGTTATTGAGTGAGAAGAAAGGTGGTTGAGTGTCAATTTAATAAGTGGAAGAGGGTGGGGAAATGTACAAAAGGAACATATAAGAGTGATAACAGTGAATTAATTATTTAAGTAAAAGCAAACTAATAACTTAAAAATGAAAATAAAAAATTTACAGGGAACGACTAGTGAAGAGGTTAAGACCAAGGTAGAATGAGAGACTGGACAAACTTTTTCTGTATACAGAGTTCGGGGTTGTATTGACGAATTGCCAGCGCCTCCGCCATACACAAAAGCCGAAACCTGACGCCCTTTGTACCATTTGGTCCCACCTTGTAGATAATCTTGAAAGACATCTCTGGTGGGGCTGCGTGGCTTGAGTTCACCAAGTGCTCGAGAGTTGAGCTAGTAACTGTCTTGCATTGTCGTTTTGCTAATCATACCGAAAAGTGTTCCGAAATGCGGCCAGTATAACTAGCTCCACAAGAGCAGGTGAACTCACAAACAAACGTTTAAGGAGCCCAATCGGCAGATTATCCTTCACACATCCATTGAACATTTGTCTGCTGTAAAAACTGATCCGTAGCCTACCTAAAAGGAAGGCTTTTCCCAGTGATCTGGATAAGCAGTTCCTCAAAATCTCAGCTGCAGTATCACCT